TATGAATAAGATAGGAAATAAATAAATAAATATGAAAAAATAAAAAAGGGGTAAATTTAACCAGGAAGGAATAAAATAAAATAAAATATAAAAAATTAAGTTAAGAATGAGATAACTGTACAACACAAATTAGAATGAAGGGTAATTTAACTGGGAAAGAATAAGATAAAATATATAAATTAAATTAAGCAGCTGCTGCATTACTGGCAAAGTCAGCAGCCCTGGTCCACAGCTGCTTTTCATCTTTTGTGGGTAATTCTTCTGTCAGCAATCAGGCAGTAGGAGTATTTCTAAGATTGTTAGTGAGTTTTCTGAATCAGCCCCTTTTTGTTTCTCTTTTTTTAATGAAAGGTAGTTTTGGGGATCATCCTGCACCAGGCATTGTCATGTCTGCTGTGATGGGATTGTGAACGCTGAATGTGAAAGTCATCCTCTAATATGATTGTTGTTTGTGCTGTGGACTGTTTCACGATGCAATGCTAAAATCAGATGGGGACTATAAATAATTTTGCAGAGGCAGGGACACAGGCTGGGGCAGTGAAATATATAATTCTAAATATTCATTATACCCAGTATGGATACTAGTGTTTACTGTGTGCTTGTATCATGGTCAGTCACTGTCCTGCAGGCCCGTTGGTACATATTGGACAGCCGTGTGCCTCTTCTATAAGCATTTTTTAATTCAGACAGGTCATTAAGCAGTAACATATCTGATTTCACCAGTCAGCAGATGCTTTCCTAAAAAGTCCTATAGTAGAAAAGCCAAGCTTCATCCGAAAACTGCCTTCAAACAAGGTAATAAATGGCTTACAGTAACACGTTATCAAATATTTACCAAAATGAGTCTTTGTCCCTGCTTTGGTGGCTCAAACGACCACTAAGGGTTCCTCAGGTCATTAATAATGCACACCGTCTTGTCCCACCATAGCTTTTTCAGGTTTTATGAGTTTCACAGATGCAACCCAGCTGGAGAATTCTCTCAACCCGCAGAGCAGTGATCACTTTATTCCCATCAGCACTTATACACCTGTAGGTTGGGATTGAGGAGGCAGCTGTTACTTTTATCACCTCTCTGCGCTCAGGTGTTCACCTCCCGACCCACCGCCCACCACGGCCCTCACCTGTGTGTTGCGGTGCTTCCCCTGTGAGCCGACCTGGGCTGGCAGTCCCTTCTTGCACCGCCCGCCAACCCCGCCCATGGTCAGGATGACGCGCTCCAAGACCTTCCAGGCGTACCTGCCGAGCTGCCACCGGACCTACAGCTGCATCCACTGCCGAGCTCACCTAGCCAACCACGACGAGCTCATCTCAAAGGTATCCAACGGCAACAGTGGCGTGATCGCGCCCTGTGCTGCCATTCAGGCAGCTAATTATTGCAGGTAGATTGGGATTATTAACTGTTTTACTTCAGTTACACAGAAATAAAGAAGATTGTTTAACGGCACTTAAAAGGACAAGTACTGAAAAAGCATAAAAGAGGAAGAAAGGATGAAAATAAACAGCAGGCTGAACACCTGTACGCTTGTGTCAGCCACCACCTCACTATTGCCTGTGGGCGGATTAGGTTATGGATTAGGTTATAAGCTGGTTAGTGAATTGGATTATGAATGTGTTATCACTTTTTCCATGTGTGATTACGGAAACATGCTCACCTGTGTACTAAGGCCTTCCGCCTGTCGTAACACAGCTGGCTGAATTAAATCTGTTTAATATCAGTGCGAGCTTTGGCCTTACTGTAAATAAAAGCCAGATAAAGGTAGGCCTATTAAAACAGCAGTCAACCACAATGTTATCAGTAATATAAACAGACCACACAGGCTTTAATATAAGCTCTTCCATAACATACGAGCACTATTGCAGTATAATAGCATGCTTATGTAATCTTACAGAGTTATTGCACTGTATAGACTAGTGGATTTTTCTCAGTCTTCTCATTTTTGTCTCATCTTGTCTCTGCAGTCGTTCCAGGGCAGCCAAGGCAGAGCCTACCTGTTCAACTCAGTGTGAGTATTGATTTATGAATAAAAGCCAGTGCTCTTGTTGCATTTCAGTCTACCTGTAGGCACAAGGCGTCGCAGGAAACCTGCATGCTGGATTTGAACAGGAAGCAGGTGATGTGCCAGGTTAATATTGGGGTGTGTTTGTTTTTGTTTTTTAAGGCCCCAGTGTAGATAGAGCCAGTTTGTGCCTCAGAGCAGTGTTATTACTGGCTGAATTGAGTGTGAAAATGATGCTGCTGCAAAGCCTGGTGGCCTGTCAGTGCACCCTCTGTGCAACACCCTCTGTGCACATCATGCACAACATCTTTCACACTTCTTTTTTTTTTAAATATTTTCTCTTTGTCTCTGCTTGTGTCTCTTTCTCTCAGGGTAAATGTTGGGTGTGGCCCTGCAGAGGAGAGAGTTCTGCTCACGGGCCTGCACGCTGTAGCAGATATCTACTGTGAGAACTGCAAAACGACCCTTGGCTGGAAATACGTAAGTACCACAAACCACATCCAAGTTTAGAGGGCGACAAGCTGAGAGTTTGTTATTATACTGTACTCTTATTTTATTTGTACCCTAATTATATTTAGACTCCAGTTAATTACTGGGGTATAATTCTTTGGTTCTTTCTGTATTATTAAACCTCTTTCTAATCTGATTTTACTACAGATCTGAGGGAAACATATTGACACATTGATATAATGACTAAAAGTACAATAAATTATCATGCAGTCAATTAAACTATCAGGCAGCATATTGAATGAATAATTTTGCATTTAATTTTTGTTATAAAACAGCCTTGCATTAGACCGATAAATGGACACATTCTGTTACATAATGTGGATATAATGCCAGGTTGTGTGTGTCTGATTTTTCACAATAGAAAAACAAACTCAGGAAAAACAGAAAACAAACAGGTGGAAGGTTTTAGATTTTGCTATAAAAAGAGAGACTGTGGACTTGGTTGGTGTGATGGTTAGCACTGCTCTCTGCTGGTTCAGACCTCTACGTTTGTGAGTTCTTTCTGTAGGAAGTTTGCATTTTCTCCCGTAGCCTGCATTGATTTACTCCCAATTTCCTACCACAGTCCAAAGGCATGAATGTTGTGGTAATTACTGATTCTAAATTGGCCACGGATGTGAGGTAGTTTAAATGCTGTATGAATGTATAGTAAAATGTGATCTGGAATTTAAAACCATTCGAGCAGTCAATAAGACTAGAAGACTTCCCAATTCAAGTGCATAATCCTATCTGTGGTGGCCACTGTGGGGAAACCTAGTTTAGCCTCCATTCATACTGTATGTAGTGAGTATAGGCTGTCACCTTTTGCCTCAGTTCTCAATATGCCAGGGTTTTACCTCTGTTTACTCTTTAGTAGGCTGTAAAACTTTGACAACTTCTGACCAACGACAGTGATACTGAGTTGAGTTATTGGCTGATATCCTGAACCTTTCTGTCTGTAAGGCTGTTTTTGCCATCTTTAGCTCATGTTAGCCTCTGTTAGCCCCTATTAGCTTCTCTTAACTGCTGTTAGCCAACATTAGTGAAACTTTCTTTGCAGAGGAGCTAACATTGTTTGACTTTAATAAACTCTATTTAAAGAATGTAATCAAACTTTACCTGAGTTCAGGTGTCATTTTTAGGGCATCTGAGCTTAACATGAGCTGGGATAATGTTAGATTATGACCAGCTGTTGTTGTTTAGCTAGCTTGGCTCATTGTCAGCTGTCCGAAGATGGGAGGTTTGAATGTCTAATCTCCTGACATAAGTAATTGTGTCAATGTTGGGAATAAGTAAGCATCTTAATGCAGGCTTTCGTGTATTAAAACCCTGACTTCAGTTCACGAGATGAGGATGATGTGGAAATGAGGGAGGAGAAAAAATAATGAGAAAGAGATGATGAAAGCGTGCAAATACAAATGTGAAATGGACATAAATAGTTTGAAGGAGCTATTTGTGATCTATAAATTAAAAGCCACCTACATAAAACAGGATTAGGCCACTGTAGACACTGTATTCAAGATGGTGGTACAACAATGGTTATACAATCCAGCATGCACTTCTGTGTGCTTCTATTGGATTATTTCCGTGTCTATGTGAATGCATCAGTTTCTTTATTTACTCACCGATTGATTTATACTTATTATTCCAACATTTTTTAAATCTATTAAATAAGCTCAAAAACTTAACTTACTGTATCTTTAAATAAATGTGACTAGGGTACCAAAAAAACAAAACAGCTGAACGTCACTTTTGAACTTTTCTAAGTACCAGAGGTTTTTTTTCCTTTTTATCCTCAATAGAGTTTCCACATTTACTCCGGCTGTTCCAGCATCCAGCTACCTGGAAAATCTACCAATAGCTCTGCTAGGAAACACAAACACAAAGTTCTCTTCTTTTTGTTTTGGTTGCACAATCGAGCCTTTATTTTCCTCAGTGGCTAACGGTCTTACATAATGACATCAAGAATTGGAGGCAACAAGCCTAAACACTGAAGATGTCATTATTCTGTAACCACTACACTGTGCAGTTAATGTTCATGTCATAAAAAGAAGTTAAAGCAAAAGCATTGCCCCTTGAAGGTTCGGAGTATAGGACTTTAATAAAAGTCTGAGTTGTTGATGGTTCAACAGAAGACTTTTTCCCTTTGTTAATCAAACAGAAGCTTTACATGGAAAAGTCGTTTCTTTAGGAATCTTTTATCTAGTTTAAAATAGACTCAGATTTGATTGGAACCGTTTTTGAGTTTAAAACACATGTAGAGTTGAAGCGTCTGTAAAGCAGTGATATTGTATGTCAAAATACATGTGCGGTATGTTTTTAGGACAGGCAGTTTTTTAGGTCACATGTCAGTGAGAACCTAAACAGGATCCACATGTTAGCAGTCTTCATATATCAACAGAGCATGTGCATTTGTCCGTGGTGAACCCTGGAAGTGAGAGTTTACATTATAGGGCACGTGGTTACATCCCTGAAGAGTTCAACCAAACATGTGCACGCAGTATCCTTTTTCTGAGAAAGGTCCATTGACCAGAACTCTTTGCTTAACCTCTGACTTCAACATTCACGACTACCTCTATAACCTTAGACCTTATTCTTTAACCTCTCCGCCTAAAAAAGTACCCTCCTTATGGCACATGTTAAACACCTGGTATACCAGCTACAGAAGTAGCTCCATCTCTCAGTAGTTTCTATTCCTGTCAGGACCTCACAAGGCAGAGAAAACAGAGGTCACATGTATGCAAAAGCGTGCAGGCACTAGATGGGGCTTAATGGAGAGCTTCCATTAATATCCTTTGCCGGCAGCAGTGTAGATTTTCTGCAGTGTTCAAAGATCTATTGAGAGGCTTGACCTACTGCACTTCTACACCGAGAAATCTGATAGCATGCCTCTGCAGGTCTGAACCAAAATAGCCAAAGACAAAACAAGGTACAGGCGATCGTAAAAGAACATTTGTATCGGCCTACACCGTGACACACCTCACAGGGTCTCACAGTGAGTGAATGACCTGCACAGAAAGCAGAATATTACTGTTTTGTGACACGTTTAACAATAATCAACTCTTTCTTTGGAACATCAGATGGATAAAAACAGCTTTCCATACTTTTCAAAATAAGAGCTGTGCTAAAAGGATTTTATCAATGGCTGATTGAGACATGCCTTCAGTGACGTCAACATGTTTGCAATGGCCTCACTAGTTTTAAGCAAATGAAGTAAAATGAAAGACTATAATAAATGTCATTTTAGACATTAAGACAGAAGCACACACTAGAAAAGGCACACAATGGAGAACAAAGGGCTTGGGAGTAGTGCAAATGGCTTGGTCTGAGTAGAGTGTGTATGTTAGGGGCCTGAATAATGAAGGATACTCAGCCCATGGCTCAGATTGGTGAGGTGGGGTGTGGGTGGATAGTGTTTGGTGACACTCGGAATTGTCTAGGGGAAGAAGCTGTTTCAGTGTACACTTGAGAATGATGCAAATGCCATTAGTATGTACTTACGAACTGGTAGCTTATCCAGTAGAGAAATTAGCCAAGATCTAGGTCATAGATCCCCGTTGGTTGATGACTGGTTGGCAAACCGATTGCTGAGTGGTTGCTGGAGTCTGGTTGCTGTTGCTTGGTGAACTTGTTCGAAAAAAGGGGGCTGTATCAGAAATCCTCTTCTTGCTTTGGCCGCCTGTAGTTTGCATGGAAGATGCCGATTTGTCTGCAAACGTTGCTAACTTGCCACGGAGTGGTAGTGAAATGCAAAGTGCAATCTGAACTGGAAACAGAGAACGTTCAGCTTCTTTGCCAGTTGAAGATGGACATTCTCTTTCACAGTTTCACTGTCACTTGGAGAATGTTTGCAGTGTCCATCCAAGCCTCCTTCAACCACTTGTCAAGGGAATGGCTGATCACTCATTAGCTAGACTAGTGACCAATCTAGCAAATGTTTCCATAGCAACAGACATCAACCTCATGTAACCAGTCAGGGAATGCTAATTTTTCCCCAACTTCCCCAATTGGCCATTGCCAGTTTGAAAATTTAGGCTTACATACTGCCTTTCTACTCTGGAGAGCACTCAAACAGTCTTTCTACTACAAATGTCATTGACCCATTCAATCTCTCAGTCACACATTCATGCAGCATTTCTATTCAGTATGTTGCCCAAGGATACTTTGGCATGTGGACTGGACAGTGGTAGATAACCCACTGTACCACAATAGCCATTGGCTGGGACCTTAAGCATTTATCTGGCTTAAATCTTTTTGCCATTTCTGGACTCTTTTTGGCCGAGTTCCCAGCATTTCAGTAAGCTAGCCCAAGCATGCAGACTTCCTTTTTGAATGATAAAAGGATCAGTCAGCAAAGAGTCAGTGAACTGCATAATGGCAGAGCAAGAATGAGCTGCACAGTTACATACATGTTTGTGTGTTTACTTAGCTTACCAACACTGCAAGCCACTAATAATCTATGTAGCTAAGACTTGTACTCTGGTACTTTTTCTAAATCCATTCATATTTTCCTGAGGAATTTTGGATCACACACCCAAGCGAGGAAAATCAAGCTTTAGCTTGCAGAGTTTGCCCTGCATTGGCTGCAGCCTGTGTTCATTTGGTCTCTACTGCTTAAGGACTCAGTCCTGCCAATGTAAGGTATGACAGTGCAGTCTGGTCAGGGTTTTGGATCTGCAGGCTCCTCTGCAGTGTTAGTGACTGATTGTTATATAACCAGCTTCCCCGGAGCCAGGAGCAGAGACAGGCCAGGATTTTTGCACAGAGCTGAAAAGACTGCATTAGCCTACTCTCCATATACATGCTGTTACATTTGAAATAAACGCAGCCTCTCTTGTCTCTTGTCCTCTGCCACTCCCTCCAGGAACATGCTTTTGAGAGCAGTCAAAAGTATAAAGAGGGCAAATTCATCATCGAGCTGGCCCACATGATCAAGGACAACGGCTGGGACTGAGGGGCGAGCAGCCGGGTGACAACCGCAGCGGAGGAGGGGAGGGACTGGGTAGAGGGTGGGAGCGGGGTCGTGTGTGGTGGGTGAGTGTGTGACTTTGGTTTGGCTGATTTACCATTAACCTTTGTAACTTACTACCCATCCCTCCCTATCACACCTCTCGATGTACACACACAAAAACACACGCGTCAAAGTCCCAGACATCCCAGTTTGACAGAGAGACGGACTAGGCAGGCTTGTACGCAGCTAGCAGGACTAGGTGACTGGCCAGCAACAGTATACGAGGCAAGATGTCTAATTTCTTTTTCTGAGCCTTTAAAAAAGACAGCCGCACTCCCTCTATACCTGCTAGGAGACGTCTCCACTGTGTGAAGTATTGTACCTTGTCTAATAATAACTTTAAAACCATTTGTTAACGGGAAATTTAGCCAGAACGAGACCGGTTGAATGAGGAGCTGACGAACGTCCACTCCGTCCCCGACGTAAAAGAGATGACCTAATATGATTATAGCAAATCCAGCTGATCGGGGCCATGCCAGCTGGGCCATTGATGAGGCCTGGCGCTGAGGCTTGGCACGGAGGCCCTAGCACATGGGGCGCTGAGTTGGGGATGAGGGGGTAGAGATTGCTACCCACTGGGCCTCTCACTCCAAATAGTGGGAGAGGGAAGGGTCCTGATCCATTTTTGTTGAGGCTCTGATGGTTTCTGGCTGGGATCCACTCCATGTCATGCCAGTGATGCAGCTCAGGACGATCAGGGTGAGCCGAATGTGGAAGAGAGATAGAGATGGACAGCCACCAGCTTGTTCCAAAACCTCATAGGAATTTGCCCTCACAGCAGCAAAGCAGCTCTCCCGGGTTTTATTCATCCTTCAATACACCAAAGTCGTGTAAAGCGATCTGCTGATCGTTCCCCCGAGCTCGTCTGGTGTCTGCGGACCCATCGCTGAGACCACCTTTGTTACAGGACCAGACTGAATTACAAAACGTAGGCATGTCTCAGGTCAGCACCTTTGGCCAGAGTTCCTAAAAGGTTTGCAAACACTGTGAGCATCTTTCTGCTGCTTAGAGAAAGAGCAAAGGTGATGAGGCGATCAGTCAGATGCAAACAGATTTATAGGTGCCAACCAGCCAGTGGTTAGAGAGCAACTGGTTTCATGTGTCAAGAGAACATGAAAATATACTTTTAACCGAGTTATACATGACTTCAGTCATCGCTCAAAGGCTCTCTTTCAGTCTGGGATGACTGCTGTTTAACTGCTGTTACCCTGATCGTTAACTAACTGTCCCTTGTTTAAAAAAGGAGAAACTAATGGGTAACATTATGAAGCAACGTATGAGATTCACTTTTTTTCCTGAATGCACCGACACATGATCTACCTAGCTTACTAAATACTCCTCATCCACTAAGGGTCTTGGATTAATCACAGTGCGAGGTAACCTTACTGGAAAGCGTTGCTCAGGTTCATTGATGCTAACTTTTCTTTGCTAAGGCCAGGATCCTACAAAACGAGCTGGGTGTGTTATTCTCCGATGGAAATGTATTGTTTTCAAATGAGAGAATCCATTACAGCTGCCTCCATCCCATGCAAATGCACTGTTAATGCATGCACGGTATAAAGTTTTCTGACTAGTTTTGTGCTAGAGATCCTCATGTTTGTTTTTTAGGTGAAAAACAGCATTTTGTGCATATTAAAGTTCCAATGAAACCTTGTGCTGTAACTTGACACCTAGTCAGCTTCATCTCAGTCCGTTTGAGCTGTGAGATGTATCGCAGATTAAATGTGATCCTGGTTTAGAAAAGTAAAAATGAGTTGCTCTGTTTTGTCACAGACACAGTTTCCTGCGAACATTGCTCTAGAAGTTTCCCCGTAGGTGAAGAGTCCTTTTCAGTTACAACCAAACCTTAATGGTTAACTCTCGTCGGTAACTCTCACCGCTCAGTCCGAGGCTGCAGCACTACCAAAGAACCCACCCATTAACAATAAATTGACCAAACAAAAGATTTTATTTTGCTTGGGCAAAGTGTTGCATAACAAGGGGTGTGCATATAGCTGAAAGCCAAGGTTGTGGATAGCCTTTCTCTGTGATATATAATATACATACATGCATTACTTTGATTTTGTAAACAGATCTTAATATATGAATATATTCTATTTACTGTATTCATCATTCATGTCAACCTCTGTGTTACAGATTGTAAACAGTGTTAATGTATTGTGTTTTATCTATGATCCTTACGATGATGAATGAATATGATTTAGGTCATGTCATGCTTTCTCTCTGGTACCCCACATTGGCTGTACGATACTACTTTTTTTACTGAAAATGTTTCAATTTTAATGTCTTTTTTAAAAGAGGATGCTGATGTTGACTATATATCATTGGATCTTCATCTAATAAAATGCATCACGGTATCTGTAAGGGTCGTTGTGTTTTTGTCTTCTCGCGCTACCTCGCCCACTCCAGCAACTGAGTTTGAAGTGTTCGGACAAATGTGAGATACCCTTGAGGATAGCACATACGTACAAGCCCGATTCTAAAAATGTTGGGATGCTGTAGAAACAGAACACATTGCTCTCATAAACCCATGTTTTATTCACAATCTAACATAGAAAATCTAGGTTTGAAGTGAGAAAATGTACCATGTTAGGAAAAAAGCAAGCTCGCTTTCAATTTGATGGCAGCAACACGTCTCTAATAAGTTGGGAAAAGGCCATTTTTACCACTACGTAGCAACTACTCTTCTTTTAGCAACAGTCTTGGAACTGAGGAGATCAGCTGCTGGACATTGATGATATAGGATTATAGATGCTCAACAGTCCTGGGTCTTCTTTGTCATATTTTTCATTTCATGTACTGTGAAGCCATGCTGTTGTAATAGATGCAGTTTAGCATTGTCTTGTTGAAATATGTAAGGCCTTCACTAAAAAGATGTCTGGATGGGAGCATATGTTACTCTAAAACCTGTCTATACCTATAAGCATTGATGGTGTTTTTCCAGCTATGCAAGCTACCAATTCCATATGTACCTCTGTACCATCAGAGATGCAGGCTTTCAAACTGAGCACTGATAACAAGCTGTGTTGTCCCTATCCTCTTTAGTCCAGAGGATGTGGTGTCCATGTTTTCATAAAAGAATGTTAGGAAAACAGCTTTCCACTTTGCCTCAGTTTATTTTAAATTAGCAGCAGTGTTCCTTGGATCATCCTCACATGTGGCGTCTTCTTTGCGCTTTAACCCGCATTTGTGAATGGCACAGTGAACTGTGCTCACAGTAATGATTTCTGGAATGGTTTTCCTGAGCCCAAGCAGGGATTTCCATAGCAGCAACATGCCTGTTTTGAATGCAGTGCCGCCCTGGGACCCGAAGATTCTCAGAATTTTTTTGTGACATTATATCTGTAGATAAGAGATTTAGTTTTCACAATTTTATGTTGAGGAACATTATTCTAAAATTGTTCCACAATTTGTAGACAGTTTTTTTTTCCAGATTGGTGAATCTCTAAGATGCTCTTTTTATACCCAATCATGTCCTGCAACTGTCTCTTTTAAGTACCGCTTACTTTTCCAGCTTTTTGTTGTCCCTGTCCCACGCTTTTTAAAATATGCTGCTGCCATCAAATTCAAGGTGTGTTAATGGTTTTTTAAAAAATACACTTTTTCAGTTAAAACATTTGATGTTTGCTTTATTTGGAATAGACTGAGATTTGCAAATCATTGCATTTTGTTTTCATTGACATCATACACATTGTTCCAGTCCTCTGGAACTGCGTTTGTAAAAGCAAGATTGTAGATTTGGCTATAATAATTTGATAATCATTTAATTTGGTAATTATTAGGTTTGACTGTTTTAAAATATCTTACCTAAAACATATACCAAATATATAAGTAAGAAACATGATTTGAAGAAAAGGGAATAGCAGGAAATCTGGCAAATACCACTGGAGTCAAGAGTCTGCAAAGATCGCCTCATAGCGCTAAAGCAAGTTAGCATTTTAAGGTCTGGGTTTTAGCTGCAGGTTATCTCTATATCAAACATTTAGCTTGTGTTTTAAATATGTGGCATTACACACTAATATTTAAGCTGTTGAATCATTAAATTGCAATTTGTTACTTTTTTAAATTCTAGAAAATGAGAAGAAATGGTGAACAAATAAGTTAGCGGTATCTCTGCAACTAGCTTAGCTAGCAGGAGTGCAGGTTTTGCCTGCTTTTCATATTGCTTTCCAGTCATTGCACACTGTGCTATATTGGGTGAAGTAATATTGTGTGAGCGTGCACATTTTTAAAATTTGGATTCAGGCAGTTTTGACCAAGTGGACAATTGACTCAGTTAATAAATAAGTGAAAATATTGATTTAAAAAAAAATCTTAAAACCTTTTTGGTGTGTGAAATGAACTTCATTTATTATTTTGGTTGCCTTTAAGTTAATAAAATGCAATTAATAAAAATAAAGTAGATAGTTACTTAATAAAAGTCTAAGAAAATCTGATACAGAACTGTACAGTCATGTTCAAGTAACCAGTTTGAGATGATTTGAGCTTTATGACGAGGTGTGAAGCAGCCATCAGAAGATGGGTACACTGTGGTTATAAAGGGATGATATGGTCAGCAATATTCTAATATGACATACTATATTCTGACCCTACCATCTTTTATCTTTATTTATATAATGTATATAACTCACTCACTTGCTGCACGTAATGTCTTCTTTGTATATACTCATTCACTGTATATAAAGTTCGAGTCGAGGAGTGTATCAGGTCACATTTCACTGCGTGAAATACTCGGAACAGCCCGACAACACCAACAGTGATGCTACATTTTGCTAACAAAGTGGCCAGTAAGTGTATGGCAGATAATCTCTTAAACAAATCTATCCTAACCCCAACCCTGAAACAAGATTATTCCTATTTCAGTGTTTGTTCCTCTGTTTTACATTGAAATATTTGTTTCCAGTTTCCTGGTGTTGGCAATATATAAGCAAATGTTCTGTGCAGATAAAACATGAAGCGCACAGTCTGAACTTAATCACATTACATGTTACAGTATCAACCTAATTTGAATAGAAGAGATAAAAGAAAAGTGTGACTGTTATTCTAAGTGCAGTTTGAAAACCACAGACAGTACCAAAATAAAGGGACAAAAATTTGAGTTGTGATCATTTTCTATTAGAAAACACGTCGATTAAAAGCTTTACAATGTGAATTTCTTCATCTGCATGTGACGTGACAGAAAGATACATTTGTGGATAGTTGTTTCAGTGTCCATAGAGCCATGTGACAGAAACAGAGGGTCTGTGTCCTTTTTTTAAAGCTTTGCATTATAAATGAGGATTTATTGTGTGGGCATAAAAAGCCCCAGTCACCTAGAGGCAACACTGTACCATAGAGCTACAGGACTGTAATGACTGTCGTGTAGTTTCTTCCCACTGATACCGTTCTTGTGTAATTAAAACGTGGCTCCAATGTTGGTAACGGTGAGAAAAATTACTCATTATCAGGCGTGTGTTTGTGTGACTCGACGGAGGACGTGGGCGCGGAGCCCGCTGCGACTGAATGGTGATATCTGCTGGTGATGACATTTTATGGTTCCCATGGTAACAAGTGCATCATCTGTTACTACCGGAGAGCCGAGAAAACGAAACAGCAGCTTGGCATCGCCTTCATGAGTGTTTATCACTCTGATACAGAAAATACGTGCTGATGGTTCGCCTGATGTTTTCTGTGAGATTACGTTTGAAAGTGTGTGTGTTTGTGTGTAGTGTGCAGGAGGACGACTATAGGGGCTGGTATAAGAGTCACACCTGTTAGTCATGCAATAATCGAGCTCCTCATCGTGTTTATAGTACTTTCCAGTACTTCCTCTGTGTTGTCCGCTCCACTCATATCCCGCATTCCTTTTCTCCCTTTCCACCTCCCATTATCAGCCTGGATCCCGTGCTCTCCTCCCGCTTTCCTGCTCCCTCTTGCTCCCTGTAGCCTCGTTTCCAGTGAACCTCCTGACTTGGCTAACCCACTCCAAATCTCACTGCAGCAGATGGTGCTGTGTTTGCATTGGGCCAGGTCTCCTAGCAACCCCGTCTCACTCCATCTCTCTTTCCTAAACCGGAGCAGTGGAGGAGTTGGTGTCATGCACTGTCTGGGTCTGCCGTGCCCACCCCTCTTCTGTCTCTCAAACTGACCTGGCTGCCTCTCAGTGTTCATGTCTATGCAAAAGTAGGGCAGCGGCTGACTGTCTGGATGACTATACGTGTGCAACGAGCACATCGGATGTGAAAAATGGGCAAAGCAGGACACAGCATATGATGTGACTCCCACATACACACACATGCACACAGAAAAAAATGGGATTTGTAACCCCATGTGGCCTAGATTTTACAGATGTTCACATATGTTGTGACGGCAGAGAGATCGCATCTGGGTCATGTTGGGTACAAAGACGTTTAATATATTTTATATTTTAAACTGGAAACTTACAAATGTACATTATATCTGTGTGTTGGTATTTTCTTTATTATCCCATGATCTAATATCCTGCCAGGGAGGCTTCTGAAACAATAGATGCCGGAATATGTAACAGTAGATGCAATCTGCTAGGCTGCAAACAACCACCCAGACACTCTACTTTATGAGGAGGGCAAATGAAGACTCTCATCCTGACATCACATTGGTCCTTTTGTTTTTATGGTACCTGTGGTCCAGTAGACTTACACAGCTGTGTCTGCATATATACTGTGTACTGGTTAATCTTTAAATAGATTCCCACAAGGATTACTGAAGTACAAAACCACATACACCAAACACTGAACTCAATATTAAGGTGAAAGTGCATCCATCCATTAATTTCTGCTTAGGACCAGGTTGTAGGGGCAGTGATTTAAGTTGAGAAGTCCAGACCTCCTTCTCCCAAGTCACCACCTCCACTAAGGCACTAAGACATTCCCAGGCCAGCTGAGAGACATAATCTGTCCGATGCATCTGGATCTAACCTAGGGCCTCCTCCGGGTAGGACATGCCCAGAACACCTCACCCAGGAGGTGCCCAGGAGGCATTCTTGTCAATATAGAGGTGTAGCAGCTCTACTCTGAGCCTCTCTTGAATGACTGAACTTCTCAACCTGTCTTCAAACAGGAGCCCAGCCACCCTAGGCGAAAGCTAAGTTTTGCCGATCTATGATCTTGTTATTTCAGTTACTACCCAGAGCTCGTGACCACAGGTGAGGGTAAGGATGTCGATCAACCAGTAAAACAAAAGCTTTACTTTTACACTCAAGACTCTATTTACCTTGACAGACCAGTGCAATTTCTAGATGACTACAGCCATGGCTATCCATGAAAGTAACAGAGCAAATCCCAGGAAACAAAATGGAGCCGAAGAAAGGGCAATATTCCTATTTATTATAAATAATTATTATTTTC